CAAATCAAGATCTCCATGATAAACATCTGTCCCAGAAAGATTTTTTTTAGTTATTACTATGAGCAAGTAACTTAATCCCAGCTTTTAAGTGGGAATGATTGCCTTAATAACATAAACTTCACTTATGCTCTAAATACTGCTATGTGAATTTTTGAAAAGTAACCAGAAAGTTGGGATAGCAGTATTGTGTTCATTTTAAGGCAAAACAATGCCAACTGAAGAGAAGACAGCTTGGGAAGAGCTCAATCAAAAAATTTTAGCAATCGTGTCTACTTTCAAATATTGTTCAATTTTAGTCAATTCATTGAATTCAGTTGAATTTTATTCATTTGTGGGGTAAAATTTTCCAAAATCTTTGATTTGCTCATATTTGTGCTATAAAGCTCAAAATCTGATCTATTATAAAATTATCCTCTTTAGCAACATGGAGAAAATTGTATCATATAATAAAAACACAAGAATTCAAGGACCATTTGGCCACCTGACCTCTTCCTTTCCTCTTTTTCTCTGTGCCTAATTCATCTTGGCATGAAGTCAAGGTAATTTCCAGAAACTGGCAGTGCCCTGGCAAATGCACAGCTGCCCCTGTCGCCAACCCTTGCCTACTAATTTTTACACAAACCACTTCCTCCTTTTGAGGCTGAGAAGTTCACAGGGCAAGGAAGTGTGCCTGAAGGGCAGAGACGGAGGGCTCCCTTGTACTCCTGCAGATTCAGGAGCTCTGTATAAAGGCAGAGGCAGCACCACCTCCCCCTGCAGCCTTGCCCATAGATCTTGGTACTGATAAGGGCACAGGCTGACCTGCCCGCTTGCATCTCTGCTCTTCCTTATCTTTTTCCATTTGACTCTCAGTGTTTAAAATTCTTGCCTCGTTGCATGTCTGTCCCCTTCTAATAAATGCTAGCCTCGACTTCTCATGAACTAAAAGATCCAGTCAGTTCCCAAGAGAGTACACGAGCCCAGTCTGGACAGAGAGAGAGGAACTGAGGGGAAGAAGAGAGAGGCAGAGATGGTGGCGCTGCTTCTGCTCCCTTAGGTTCCATACCAGCTCCTTCACACTGTGCAGTGGCAGTGTGTGGGTGTCCATACAAACGCAGGTAAAATTTAGATGTTTTTATCCTCCTACACTCTTACATGTAGAGTCAGCTCTGATCGTATTTGAATATAGTCATGGTGATGAGTTCTTTCCTTTTGTTCTGTGCTCCTCCGTTTCTCTGCCTTTGTTGGTTGCGATTGGACTTGATATTCTTGGTGAGCAGAGGAAAGCCTCTCTGACTGCACATCTTTATACACATCTTGAGGTTTCCATCGCCTCTGCCTGCTCCCAGAGCAGCTGGATCACCAAAAGCTGGGTACCCTTCACTGCTCTGTTGACACATGCAGGGTGACCCCTCTAAATGGATGTTTGTACTTTTTCAGATGTAGCTTAGTGCATCTAGAATAACATTGAATTATCATCTGTTTTGTCATCAGCGATCATGCTATCATGACTGTTTGTTTCTATTTGTCTGAATAAATAACCAGACTAGGGGAAGACCATAGGATAAGGAAAGAGGACTCATTCCAGCTCTGCCACTAATTAGTTGTATTGAGCAAGTCAACAGTCTCTCTGGGATTTTATTTCGTATGTGAGACAGGTAGGTTGGACTATATTCCTTGAAGGTCCTGTTATTCTTGACCTCCTAAATATCAAACTGAATGTGATGACCATGCTAAAGTTCTCTTTTTTAGACTCATTCCCAGTGCCTATGTGAGCAGGTCCACTTCATGTGCACTACTAACCTCTTAGAAATCAGAAGAGATGAAAGTTTCTCTGGTGGTCTAGTGGTTGGGATTTGGCACTTCCAATGCTGTGGCCCAGGTTCAGTCCTGGTTGGGGAATTGAGATCCCACAAGGTGCAAGGTGTGGCCAAAAGAAAAAACAGGAAGAAATGAAAAGAGGTGACAATTCAAAACAAACTCATGTCTTTCTAACTTTTTGTATATGAGCTAATTTCAGTGTGATGTCATCAAAGAGAAGAAACTCAGAATAAAAGTGGACAAAACGGAAATTTACCAGGAGTTAATATAAAATCCCGCAGTTGAGTTCAAAGAACACTTTGCACAAATAGGTGTTTGGCTGAAATTCATATATACATTTGGGTATTTGCATTATCAAGTGATGTGAGCCAACAGCATAATGTATGCCCTGTGCTGTAAAGGATAATCACGGATCCTAATGGCAAGGACAGACTGGAAGCATCTGCTCAGACAGTGGCCAGGTCAGATAGCATGAAGTCAGAGATCCTGAAAGATAGCAAGCAGAGGGAGGTCAGAGAGGCCAAAGGTAAGAGACAGCTGAAGGTCATGGCAGAAGATCAGCAAGAAAGCAAAATGAAGGGATCAGTAATGTCAGAGCCTAGAGATGAGCACAAAAGAAGGAAATGGGGAGGGTGGGGCTGGGGGTCAATTCAGCAAAACAGCTGTTTCTATAATGAAGGGCTCCAGCTTTTCTTTTTCTTTCTTTCTTTTCCCCAACCTTATATTTCTAGGTAGCTTCCCAGCCCTTAAATTTCTCCACGCCCTGGAATTTGTCTCACTTAACCTAACTTTGTCCTGTTAAAGTTCTCTCTCTGATTTCTTTAAAAGGAAGAATTATCTGTATTGTTTCATGAGTTTTCAGAGCCCCTATGTGAAGGAGTTACTTTTATTGCACACCGCTGTCCAACATCAGCTGGCTTTTTCATTATTTCTGGCTGACCAGCTCTCCCACACATGCCCTGGTTGCTTTTTCTCTGCCTTTGCTCACACTCTTATTCTTTCTTAACTTCCTTTCCTCTGTTAGTGTCAAACACATCTTCCTTACCTTCTCATATCCCCATTCTTATTCCCTGTAGACCAGAATGTGGCATGAATGTCATGGGGGTGAGAGTGGGCAGGAGGTAATTCCCTCGGTGTAATTATTAACTCCTTAAGTAGCGTTAGTCACTTAGCTGTGTCCAACTCTTTGTGATTCCATGAGGTATATACAGCCCACCAGGCTTCTCTATCTGTGGAATTCTCCAGGCAAGAATACTGGAGTGGGTAACCATTCTCTTCTTCAGGGGATCTTCCCGACACAGGGATCAAACCCAGGTCTCCTGCATTGCAAGCAGATTCTTTGCCTTCTGAACCACCAGGAAAGCCATTTTACTAGGCAGTGCTAGTGGTAAAGAACCTGCCTGCCAATGCAGGGGGCTTAAGAGACGTGGGTTTGATCCCTGGGTCAGAAGATCCCCTGGAGGGGGGCATGGCAACCCAGTGTTCTCCAGTGTTCTTGCTTGGAGACTCCCATGGACAGAGGAGCCTTGGAGGCTACACTCCATGGGGTCGCAAAGAGTCTGATACGACTGAAGCAACTTAGCACACATGCATGACTCAACAGGATTTAAGTTAACTGTGTTGGGGCTTCCCTGGTAGCTCAGATGGTAAAATATTTGCCTGCAATGCAGGAGACCCAGATTCAGTCCTTGGGTTGGGAAGATCCCGTGGAGAAGGGAACGGCAACCCACTTCAGTATTCTTGCCTGGAGAATTCCATGGACAGAGGAGCCTGGCATGGGGTCCATGGCATACAGTCCATGGGGTCACAAAAGAGTCAGACATGACTGAGCGACTAACACTTTGAACTTTTGAACTTAAATAGTGTATAAGCTTTGAAAGAAAGAAACTTATGTCTTACAGAGGCTACATGGTACAGTAGAGAGTTTGGGATTAGGTCCTGGCTCTGTGACCTTTAGCATATATATACCTCTCTCTAGGCCTCAGTGTTCTTCTGGGGAAGACAGGAGTAATGATTCCACGCTCTAGCTTCCTTACACAGGCAAGCAGGTGTTTAGGTCAAGGTACTCTAACAAAATGAAGGGTTATCATACCAGGTGCCTTGTTATAAAGAATTCAAGGAAATTTGAGAATCTGAATTCTGTTAGATTGTAATTCTTGCTCTACCACTTACTCACTATGTAGCCTTAGAAGTTTCTTACTTCTCTAAAATGAAAATGACACTATCACAGAGATAATGTTGCTGATGCTGGCTTGTATACCAGTTTGTAAGAGCCAGTTGTCAAATATTTAGTAATACAAGCCTGAAACCTGACTTGGTGGGAGTATTTATACCAGGGAAATTAGCAAATACTACTTACCGGATTATTGGTTTTTTATTCTGGAGAGTAGATGGCTCAGACAACAAACACTTACTTCTGACAGTTTTTTGGAGGCTGAGCCATCCAAGATTGAGGCACTTGCACGTTCAGTAGTCTGGTGAGGGCCTGCTTCCTGCTTCATAGACCGCTGCCTTCTCACTATGTTCTCCCGTGACAACAGAAGCAAGGGAGTTCTCTAGTCTCTTTTTCGTAAGGCAGTAACCCCATTCATCCACTGTCATGACTTAATCACCTCCCAAAGCCACCCCCCCTCCACCTCCAAGTAACATCACAAATGAGTTTCATCACGTAAGTGGAGTGAGGGGAACGCAGACATTCACCCTATAGAAGTATATTGATACAGAATGCTTAGAATATCTTGAAAATCACAACATAAATCCCTCCCAAATCTAACCTCCTAAAATTCACAGCTATTAATTCTTTGGATGTATCCTTCCAGTCTTTTTTCTTACACATGTGTTTGTGTATCTTTTTAAATAATAAAAATTTTAAATGGCTTATGTTGTATATATTGTTCTAACCTATTTTTTATATTAATGTCATGAACATTTTCTCATGTTAGTAAGTACTCTTCTACAACATGATTTTTAACTGCTGCACAGTATTCCATCATGTGGATCAACACCACTGTTTAACCAATCCCCTTTGCTTGAGCATTTTTATTGTTATAATCAGAAGTGTAGTAGTGTGACTGACTAAAGACAGGGTGATCTCACATCCTTCTGTTTTCCCCAGGTTCTGAAGCCCCCTCTTACATCGGAACTCTGCTCTAATGATCCTCTGAGTGTCATCTCAGGACCTCGGGCACACTCATGGCACGATGGCCAACCCTCAGGAGCGCCTGAGCTGCTCCTCTTCTCCACACTTACCTTTGAGTGAAAACAAAGCCTTCAATGGACTACAAGATGACCTCGCACCTGTGGGGAGCCACGCTTCCCCCAAGCTTCTTAAGGACCAGCAGGAAAAGGGCATGGTGCAAACTGAGCTGGCCGAGGGCACCAACAGCCCTATCACCACAACAGTGTTGACAAGCGTAAGTGAGGATTCCAGGGACCAGTTTGAGAACAGCGTTCTTCAGCTAAGGGAGCAAGATGAATCGGAGATGGCCATGTCTCATGGGAACAGCAACACCGTGGATGGAGAGGGCACAAGTGGAACTGAAGACATCAAGATTCAGTTCAGTAGGTCAGGCAGCGGCAGCGGTGGGTTTCTTGAAGGACTATTTGGATGCTTAAGGCCTGTATGGAATATCATTGGGAAGGCATATTCCACTGATTACAAATTGCAACAGCAAGGTAAGCAAGATATTTCTTGTGTAATCATACCACCACCATTAACTGGATAACGTTTGATAAACTAAAGACCTAGAGCCAGAATACACTAGGTCAGTCTCCTATAGACCTTCTGAATGGAACAGAGTGACATACAGTTGGTCTTTTTTGGTTGAAGCCCATCTTTGTGGTTATCCAGTGATGTCCAGAGTAGAGTATATATAAGACAACCCATGACATTGTGAGGAAGAAAATGTTAGAGCTCTTGTTCCTTTTAACTCATCATTTTAAATTTCTATTCTCATGCATGTTTTCACATGTATATTTAGTATTTTAATAAAGTTGTACAGATACATAATTTGTAAATAAATCACATAGTAGGTACATATTCCAAATTTTGCATTAATAATTTTTTAAAGTCAAAAAGTTTGATGGTCACTGGACTAATTCAAAACCAGACAGAAGTGGCATGGTATTGCCTCCAAAGATTGCAGGACTGCCTTAGTTAATAGCAAAAAGGAATATTTTAAATTTTATAGTCAAGCTCAGAAAACTCATGTTTTGAGAAAAGAACAAAATATCTAACCATCCTTGGTTAGATTAACCATCTAACATTATTATTTCTAGATCCCACAGCTTTTTTAAAAAGTAAAATTTTAACTCCCATCATTGTATAACATGTATATTCATATATTCCAATTCAAGCCTTACTCTTTTTGAAGTAAAGAGAACACATGGCACTAGTGTTCTTTATAACTTTATTTATATTCTTGAAAAAATTTTTCCTGAGAACAAAAGTAAGACATATATAGAAAATTTTGAACATACAAGTTAGTTCCCCCCCAAAAAGTTAATTTCCCATCCTATGATTCCCCAATCTGAAAATAACCAACGTTAGTGTTTTGGCACATATATTATGTTAGCCTGTATATCTGTGTGTATATGTGCTTTAAAAAAGCCATACTGTTCTGTAACACCTTTTTATTTCATATTGTGAACCCTTCCCATACCATGAAATATACTTTTCAGCATCATTTTTAATGGCTGCATAATATTAAATTGTGTGAACATGTACAATTTAGTACTTGTAATTAAGTAATCCTCTGTTTTTTCCCTTCGGATGAGAACTCAGGGTTTATTCTTTTAACCACGTTCAAAGATACCATAAGCATTGTTAATTATATTTATCAAGTTGTATATTACATACCCTTGATCTTATAACTGGAAGTTTGAACCTTTTGACTGCCTTCATCCAATTCCCCCTCTCCCACTCTCTGCCTCTGGTAACCACAGAACTGATCTCTCTTTCTGTGAGTTTGTTTCTTTTTGAAGTATAATTGACCTACAGCCCTATATTAGTTCCTGGTACACATCATAGTGATTTGACAAATGGCAATGCACTTCAATATTCTTGCCTGGAAAATTACATGTACAGAGGCATCTGGCTGGCTACAGTCCGTGGGGTCTCAAAGAGTCAGATGTGACTGAGCACACACACACTGTATGTTTCAAAATGATCACCATGATGAGTCTAGTTACTGTCTGCCACCACACAGAGACGTTACATAGTTATTGCCTGTATTCCCCACACTGTACAGTTCACAGTTATGAGTCATTTATTTTGCACTAAAAGTTTGTACCTCTTAATCTCCCTCACCTATTTCTCTCCTCCCCCTTCTTCCTTCCCTCTGACAACCACCTGTTTGTTCTCTGTATCCATGACTCTGTTTCTGTTTTGCTGTGTTTGTTCATTTGTTTTGCTTTTTAGATTACGCATTTAAGTGAAATCATATAGTATTTGTCTTTCTCCGTCAGACATGTTTCACTTGGCATACGGCCTTCTAGGTCTATCCATGTTGTCACAAATGGCAAGATTTCATTCTTTTATATGGCTGAGTAATATTCTGTTGTGTGTGTGTATGTTCATATATATATGTGTGTGTATATATATTTATTCCACATTTCTTTTTCTCTGTTCATCTACTCATGGACACTTAGATTGCTTCCTTATCTTGGATATTGTAAACAATGTTGCAGTTAACATAAGGGGGCATGTATCTTTTCTAAAGAGTGGGGTATTTGAGGGGGTTGTTTTTTAATTTTTAATACAGTTTTTAAAGGATGCTTTCCATTTACAGTTATTAAAGAATATTGGTCATATTCACCATATTTTACATTACATCCTTGAGCCTGTCTTATACCCAGAAGTTTGTACCTCCTATTCTTGTACCCGTATACTGCCCCTCCCTCTCTCTCCACTGGTGGCCCCTGGTTTGTTCACTATATCTGTGAGTATGCTTCTTTTTAGTTATATTCATTTGTTTTTTGTATTTCTTAGAGTCCAAAATATATGTGATATCATATAGTATTTGTCTTACCCTATCTGACTTATTTCACTTTAGCATAACATCCTCCATGTCTATCCATGTTGCTGCATATGGCATAATTTTGTTCTTTTTATGGCTGAGTTGTATTCCATTGTGTCATATATGTATGCGCGTATGTATATGTATATATATGTCAAGTTGTACGGACTATTTGTATATGGTGGATGTTAATCCTTTAACAGGCATATCATTTGCAAATATTTTCTCCCATTCAATAGGTTGTCTTTTTGCTTTGTCAATGGTTTGGCTTTGCTCTGTGAAAGCTTTTAAGTTGAATTAGGTCCCATTTGTTTATTTTTGCTTTTATTTCCTTTACTTTAGGGTCCAAAAAAAAAATATTGCTGCAGTTTATGTTAAAGAGTGTTCTGCATGGAATTGCTTTCCTCTAGGAATTTTATAGTCTCTGGTCTTACATTTAGGTCTCTAAAGAGTGTTTTTGTTTTCTTTAGTTAAATATCCAGGAGTGGAATTGTTGGGTCATATGGTAATTCTATATATAGTTCTATTTTTAGTTTTTTGAGGTATCTCCTCCATACTGTTTTCCATAATGGCTGCACCAATTTGCATTCCCATCAACAATACACAAAGGCTCCCTTTTCTCTACTCCTGGCCAATCCTTGATGATTAGTGATGTTGAGCATCTTTTTATGTGCCTGTTGGCCATTTATATGTCTTCTTTGGATAAATATCTATTCAGCTATCTCTTTATCCTCTGCCCATTTTTCAATCAGGTTTTCTTTTTTATGTTGTTTTGAGTTCTCTCTACATTTTGGATATTAACACCTTATCAGAATAGTGTTTACAAATATGATCTCCCACTCAGCAGGCTCCCATTTCATTTTATTGTTTCCTTCAGTGTAAAGCTTTGTAGTCTGATATAGTTCCATTTGCTTATTTTTGCTTTTGTTGCTCTTGCCTGAGACGACACTCAAAAAAATGTCACTAAGATTGATGTGAAAGAACGTACTGCCAGTGTTTTCTTCCAGAACTTTTATGGTTTCATAGATCTTACATTTAGGTCTTTAATCCATGTAGCTGTCCAATTTTCCCAATACCATTTATTGAAGAGGCTGTCTTTTCCCTATTGTATATTCTTGCCTCCTTTCTTGTAGACGAATTGCCCATACAAGTATGGTTTCATTTCTGGGCTGTCTGTGCTGTTCCATTGATATCTGTGCCAGTACTGCTTTGATTCCTATAGCTTTGTCTTACAGTTAGAAATCAGGGAGCATGATACCTCCAGCTTTGTTCTTCTTTCTCATGATAGTTTTGGATATTGGGTATATTTTGTGTTTCCATACAAATTTTAGAATTATTTGTTCTAGTTCTATGAAGAATCCATGGGTACTTTGACAGGAATTGCACTGAATCTCTAGACTTCCTTGGGTAGTATGGTCATTTTAACATTATTAATTCTTCCAATTCATGAGCATGGTATATCTTTCCATCTATGTGTGTTGTCTTCAATTTCTTTCATGAATGTCTTGTCATTTTCAGAATACATGTCTTTTACCTCCTCAGATTTATTCCTGATATTTTATTTGTTTTGATGCAATTGTAATTGCATCAAATTATTTTCTTAATTTCCTTTTCTGATTGTTGATTGTTAGTATATAGAAATATAACATATTTCTGTATATTAATTTTGTATCCTGAAACTTTTTCAAATTCATTGGTAGCTTCTACTACAATCTTCTCATTTAACAATTTGTTTACTATTTTTAGTGGTTATAAGCCACGCTGCAATGAATATAGCATTGAAACATGTACATTACCATATGTAAAATTAGATAGCCAGTTAAAGTTTAGTGTATAATGCAGGAAGTTCAAATCGTGACAACGTAAATGGGTGAGATGATGTGGGGGATGGGAGGGAGATCCAAGAGGGAGGGAACATATGTATACTTGTGATTCATACTGATTCATCATCAGCATACTGATTCATGCTGATATATGGCAGAAACCAACACAGTATTGTAAAGCAATTATCCTCCAATTAAAAATGAAAAAAAATCTACAGATAACAAACACTAGAGAGGATGTGGAGAAAAGGGAACTCTCCTACACAGTTGGTGGGAATATAAATTGGTACAGCCACTGTGGAAAACAGTATGAAGATTCCTCAAGAAACTAAAAATAGAATTACTGTATAACCCAGCAATTCTACTCCTGGGCAAAACTACAATTCAAAAACATACACGCACCCCTGTGTTCACAGCACTACTATTCACAATAGCCAAGACATGGAAACAACCTGAGTGTCCATCAACAGAATAATGGGTAAAGATGTGGTACATATATACCATGGAATACTACTCACTCATTAAAAAATGAAATAATGCCAGTGCAGTATTTCTAAGTCATGAAAAAGAACAAAACGCCATTTGCAGGAGCATGGATGCAAGTAGAGATTATCATGCCAAGTGAAGTAAGTCAGAAAGGGAAAGACAAATACCCTATGATATCACCTTTATGTGGAATCTAAAATATGGCATAAATGAACCTATCTACAAAACAGAAACAGACTCGCAGACACAGAGAACAGACTTGTGGTCGCCAAGGAGGGAGTTGTAGGGAGGGATGAACTGGAAACTTGGGGTTAGTAGATGTAAACTATGACATATATCAATAGAATGG